ACAAAGACACCAGAAATAGTGTTGTACCAGCTGTCTGGACATCCCTTAGCTCAGCCAAGTTGACGCATAAAATTTACGAGCCTTCAGAGTTCTCTATTTTTGTTTCTTTGTCGTACCTTCATCTTTGTGACACTTTACTGTTGGCCAGTTTTCTCTTTGATTAGCCATTTTTGAAAATGTTATGCAGGTTTATCACTGAAAGAAAAGGAAAAAGCACAACTACATGGTTACCTGCCAGTGTGTCAACTGAATAAAAGATGTGTGGTGGCCAATCACCAACAGACATGAAAAGAAGTGACATAATTGGTCACTGATTATAATGCGCCTCTGGTATACATGTAGCAATTTATGGGTTGAAGGTCTAGCAATGAGGTTTCTCCTTTATGCAATTATTCACAGGCAGTATACCATAGCGACTGATATCAGAACTGTGGTGTTGGAGGACTGACGTCATTGAACTAAACGGTGGTAACTGAAATCTGTGCAATATAGGAACTTTGCTAAGCATGGATGGGCTGATTATTAATAGGACCACTTTCTTGCTTCTCTTTTTATTTTTAGTGCATCTAATTCATCTGACATTTAATTGATCCAGATTTTCTTCCAGGATGACAAATACCCTACTCATCTAACAATCCAAGGACCTCACAGTATCTTACATGTAGTTTTCACCTAAACCTGGGTATAACCATTGTAGTCATCTTCCTGGTCATGCTAAGCACCTATACTGTAGTTATATCCTAAGATTTCATCTCTGTTATGCTCCAGAGCGTAATTGGTGTTTTTTGTTTTTTGTTTTGTTTTGCTGGATTCAACTTTATTCAGTGAGCATGTTCAATAATTTAATAGGTGTTCTTTAACCTTCCACAGGATTAGCAAACTGAGGCTGCTTTGTTACTGCTGTTCACAATAAACTTCCATAGGAAGTAATTTACAAGACTCTAGACCTTTGTTAATGCTGAACTTTCTGGGCATCTTGTCTGAGTGATGTATCTTCAGTGAAGTGAAGCCTAAGAGCTGTCCTCTCTGCTTTCTTGACCTTCTTCACAAGCTAGTTCTCTAAATATCCCCATATCTGGGAGACCAACTAGCTCCCAAGTTGGAAGACAGAGTTCTCAGACTTGTTACTTTGAAGGTGACACCAACAGAGGCACTTCTGCCTGATGTTCTATCTGCTAACTCACAAATCAGCGTCTAGAAAGAGTAATCTTGCCTTGCTTACTTAGTCAAGGGTACCTCTCTTCTTGGTACTGCTATAGAGAGATATAAATGCCGCTTCTTCACCGTTGACTTTAGTAGCTGGAAAACAGGACAATATCTCTACATCTTTCTTTGTATGTAACACAAAACTCCTGCAAAAGAATAAGAGATAAACAGGTAGAGGCTGTTCAACTTTTTTATTCTGAGCCCCCAAAGAAAAGCCTATAGTGTCAAGCTGGGCAGAATTTTGTGACTGTCATGACCCATAGAGTATAATGGAAGTAATGTCATGTGCCCTCCAAGGCTAGATGATAATAACACCTTACACTTCTGCCTTTCCTACTTAGGACATTTTTTCTTATAACCCAGCTGCTATACATGCTGTGAGGAGGACAGAATAACCCATGTGCAGATGCTGTGCAGAGGCTGTGCAGAGGCAATTTGGCCAGTAATCCATCTGAGATCCCAGCCAATAATCAGCATCAACCACCAGGCATATAAATGAAGATGCATGCAGATGATTCCTGCTCCAAGTTGCTGTCACACCTAATCTTTGAGTCTTCCAAGCAAATGCCCCAGATGTGGCCATAGCAGACATATAAGCAGTCTGCCCTGTGTCCAAACTAAATTCCTGACCCATAAAATCTGGGAAGACAAATGTCATTATTTTAATACAATCATATGCCACTGAGATTGGGGTGGTTTGTTATGCAGCAATTATAAATGAAACAAGAACCCTTGAACTTGTAAGACACTTGATATTATATGAGTTATATGATAAGAAAAGATCAGGTAAAGTATCTTTTCTTATCTGCACTTTCTAACATAACCACAATGTATATGGATAATTTGTTTAGTTCGATAAGGACATGCTGAATGACTGATTCCATGTGGATGGGAGAGGGGAGGGTATGCTGCATAGGTTTCATGTCCTTAGATGCTGGTGAGAAGAGGCTGTAACACATTAATTGTTCCCTTCTCTCACTCATACAATAGCACTGGTAGCACATTATCTTTTCTTGTGACAGTGTTGCATTAAGTTTTTTTAGAAGTAGCCCACAAACTGTAACAGAATGTGATGTGATAATTTCCTACCTTCATCAAGTTCTGCCGAGATGCAGATGTCTCCTTACTTTTGTAGACAAATGGTTAATCCTGGGAGGGGCCTATTTGAATTCTTTTTTGTTTTGTTAGTTTTTTGTTTTTTTTTTTTTCTGAGACAAGATCACACTTTGTTGCCCAGGCTGTAGTGCAGTGGTACAACCACAGCTCACTGATGCCTTGACCTTCCGGGCTCAAGTGACCCTTCCACCTCAGCCTCCTGGGTAGCTGGGACTCCAGGCATGCATCACAAAGTCTGGTTAATCTTTTGTAGTTTTTCATAGAGATGGGGTTTCTCCATATTGCCCAGGCTGGTCTCGAACTCTTGAGCTTAAGCTGTCTACCCACTTCAGCCTCCCAAAGTGAGCCACCTTTCATCTCCCCAACTCATCTTCTGACACTGTGCTTGAACTGATGTATTTAAAGATCAGGGACCTTTCTGATCAATGTCAAATTTGGCATCCAGATGGTTCTGGCTCTCAGAGGGATCAGAGGCAGTCTGAATAGCAAGAAAGGATCAATTCAACTGACCAGTTCACCAAACAAGGCCAAAACATTGGTGTCAACTAATAAGCCAATTGCTGACATAAGTACCTGCATCAGAAGTTACTTGTTTCAACTACTTGAATTCAACACATCATTGCCACTAGGCAATTATAAAACCTTAAGTTATCTTCAGCAAGTGAGGGCAACTTACTCTTCCATCCTCAGGTGGGTGGGGGAAGGCTTTGCCATTTTCAGAGCAAATTCATCTGGGTTAGCAGCAAGCCTTAGCAGAAAGCAAATTCCATAGTCAAGTCTCTCAACCATTAAATTTTAGGATTATATTCTGGTGGTACTTCTTAGGGAAAAAAAAAGAAGTAAAGTTTCACGTATGAGATAAATTAGAGGACAAATTGTTACTTCCTGTCTTCTTATAATCTTAGATAGTCTCTAAAAATCTTTTTAAAAAGTTGTATTAACCATCTTGGTATGAAATGGCTGGAGATTAAAGCGAGAAATGTCAATGCCCTGGGAGGAATAAAAAAACGAAAGAAAGAAACTAATCAGAATTACATCTTTGTTACATGAGGGACCAAAACCAGAAAGCTTTATACAAGGTTTTGTGTCTCAGCAGGAAGCATTGCCCTTTTACCATAGAATGTCATTGCAATCATATGGTATCAATAACAAGTGAATTATGGCCAGAACACCTAGGACCTGTTCTTCTAAGGCTTTAGATGTGAGTTATTCTCACAAATCTCTAATGCATGTTCATTCTGAACACTGGCTGGATTTTTGGACCCTTTTGCTGAACTGAGAGGGTTATATAGCTATAGTAAGACTGAAACTAGTTCCTGGAACATCCCTCAGTGTTGTGGGGAGCAGCAAAGGAGGAAGGGTTTACAATGTGCCTACATAAACTGCTTGTAAGTAATGTATAAAAGAAATCAGGAACAAACTGTGGAAGGCCACGGAGGCCTCTAGGGAAGAAGGCCTCTCTATGGCCAGCATGTTCCCAGGAACAGAGTGACCTAAGCTCTGATATTCTAAACATAGTGCCCAAGGACATAACACTCCCTTGAAGCACTGGGATTTAACCAGACATGTAGGCTCCTTGCTAGGCCTGCTCCCACCAGCTGCATTGTCTATTGTAAAGTAGACACTTTCAGCTCTTGAGAAACCACATACACCACCTCTGCTATCAATTTTATGTCTGAAGCACAGCCTCCCTTCATCAATTCACCCTACCACCTGTACTGTAGATAAAAGTGATTGTGTTCAATAAATATTGTGGAACCCAGAGCTTGGGGCCTTCACTGCCTCCATTACAGGTGATGGTCCCTGGTCCCACTTTCATTCTTAATCTGTCTTTTTCTCCTTCCTTTGTCACCACCAAACTCGGGGTACCCATGGGTGAGGTGTAGGGGCTGGCTCCCTATACCTCAGAGTGGCCAAAATATTTTCTTTATGATCATAAAGCAATTACAATTCACATTGCTTTCTGCAGTAGAGCTTTCTTTTTGTTACATAGGTATACATGTGCCATGGTGGTTTGCTGCACCCATCAACCCATCATCTTTTTGATGACTCCATAGTATTCCATGGTGTATATGTGCCATGTTTTCCTTTTCTTCTTCTTTTTTTTTGGAAAATGTTAAAATTTATTAATAATAGTTAACATCACATAGTTAATTAAACTACTTATTTATTATACATAATGACATCTTCACTAGACTGAATGCTCAAGGATTTGAGATGATTGGCTATTCAGCACACCCCAAAGATTGAGATCCACTGTATTTACACAAAGCAAAGTTGTGTCAGCAAGGGACTGTCAACCTAATTCTGGTAACACAACCATTCAAAATTTATTTTCCAGTGTTCCTTTTTGGAAACCAACAATACATCTTTAATAGCTACACACCTACATCTCTACCTTAAAAAAAAAAAAGTGTAACTTCAAAGATAGTATCTAATCTTCAAGCTTAAAATTTAAGTTAAAATTCATCTCTATTTTCTGGCCACCTTTTAGTGATCCTAAAATCCACATGAAAGCTTTTGGCTTTTGTGTAGCAGGAAAACACCCAAATTTTGGGTCAATTAGTGCAGATGGAAACTAGCAGAGGTGCTACACCTGATAGCAAAGCCAGACAGGGAGCAAACAAGAAGGACCAGCCGCTTGCCCCTCTGTGCTCCTGAGAGGTGCTCGGCCATTTTCACCTAATTACACCCAACCTCAGAGGCTCTAGTGTCTTCTGGCCAGCATGGTGTTGATCCGCCAGCCGGTAAGCCACCGCCGTCACGCCACCGCCATCACCACAGCTGCACCTTTGCCACTACCATCCTCAGAGCAGAGGAAGCAGACATCACAGTCGGGCACCAGCCACCGCACGGTCTTGTGTAGACACTTGTCAAAATGGGGGTGTTTCTTGTAGACGAAGCTGTCAACCCCAACGGTGGAGCACAGCCGCTCCTCGCCCTTGTTCTCCTTGATGCGCTGCAGCACGGCGGCCAGGGTGGCTGCACACAAGCTGGCCGAGCGTGTGGACGCGATCTGACAGATCTGGTGAGTGGCCACGCGGTCCTCCTGCGCTGGATCCAAGCCCAACAGCCTCAGGACCTCACGGGCCTTCTGGATGCCATCCTTCTCCCCTTCGATGTCTGAGATGTCTTTGGTCTCAAAGCCACCCGTTTTGAGGAGCTCTGGGCTGAGCTTCCCCTCAAAGAGCAGCTTCTGCTTGGCCATCTTCTCCAAGATAAGCCTCACCAGCTCCCCCATGTACATCCCACTGATCATCTTCTCAAACAGTTGCTTCCCAGGGTTCAGTGAGCCCATGTCAATCTCCTGGTCAAACTCAGTGCGAATGTCGTTGAGCAAGCCATCGTCCCCGAAGGTCCCCCCACTCCATGTTGATACATATGTGCTCCTCATCACCCTCCACCATGTCGATGTGGCGCATCTCTTCCATGTAGCAGGCGTTGCTGCCCGTGCCCACAATAAGACCAATCTCACAGTTGTGGTCATCATAACCACAGGTCATCATGGTCCCAACCGTGTCATTCACCACAGCCACAATGTCGATATCAAAGTCCCCTCTCCGCTGGATGGCCTTCCGGATCAGAGCCACAAGGTCTCTGCCTTCCGCTCCACTGGACTTGAAGCCCTTGGTCCATGAGACCAGGAAACTCTCGTCTAGTTTAGTCTGGTGGCAAGGGAACGAGAAGGTAAAACCCAATGGGAGCTTCCTGTCTTTGATTTGTAGCTTATCCATGAAGTTAGCCAGGCATTTGTCAATGTGGTCAAACAGCTGGGTGCCCCTGCCTCGCATGACGCCCTCGGGGATGGCACAGATCTGGTTCTCCATCTCCTCCTTCTGGAGCCCATTGTCGGTTACTTTCACCCAAAGCACACGGAAGTTGGTCCCTCCAAGGTCCAGAGCCAGGAACTCTCCGTGTTCTGTCCCGTCTGCAGTGGACCTCACAACGGTGGGCAGCATCTTCACTGCTGCAGTGGGGTGGGTGGTGGCTCCAAGCCCTTTCTCCATCTCCTTGCGGAACCGCTTAGAAATCTCCGAAAGGGTCTCATCAGAGAGGCGCATGTGGTAGAGATGCTGGTCAACCTTCTGCACTTGGTCGTGGTTGAGCTCCGAGAAGAAGTAGGCGAGCAGATGCGAGGCAATCATCCTGCCGTGGCCCAATGGCGCAGAGTTGGGAAACCGAGGCAGGGGCGCGTGCAGGGAGGCGGGCGGCGCTGTCCCGCTGCTTTGTGCCGCGGCTCAGCTGCCTGGCGGTGAGCTGGGAGTCCTGGCGGCGCACAAAGAAGGCTAACGTCGAGGGTGCGCCCGGCTGGCGGGGGGCGCGGGTCTCCGGAGACCGCGGTTTGGCGTCTCAACTGCTAGAAGGCGCCTCAGTACCCTCCTGGCGACGTGTCAGGTTGTCCCACGTCAAGGCGCTAACTTCGGCCACAGGCTCACTGAGCCTCAACTTGACAAGAATCGCAGACAGCTCCACTTGGGCAATGGGACCTCTCAGCTCACACGCGCATGGCTCCTGCCCGCGGATCTTAGCTGAGTGACACGATGTTGCCCGCTGCAGCCCAGGACTCCTGCGCTGGAGTTTCCTGCAACAATGTCGCCATGTTTTCTTTATCTAGTCTATCATTGATGGGCATTTGGGTTGGTGCCAAGTCTTTGCTATTGTGAATAATGCTGCAATAAACATACGTGTGCGTGTGTCTTTGTAGTAGAATGATTATAATCCTTTGGGTATATACCCAGTAATGGGATTGCTGGGTCAAATTGTATTTCTGGTTCTAGATCCTTGAGGAATCACCACACTGTCTCCCACCAACAGTGTAAAAGCATTCCTATTTCTCCATATCCTCTTCAGCATCTGTTGTTTCCTGAATTTTTAATGAATGCCATTCTAACTGGCATGAGATGGTATCTCACTGTGATTTTGATTTTTTTAAGAATTCTACATTAAGCATCTTAAGGATGAATTACTAGAAGAATTTCTGTTGGTAAGAGAAAATGCATGACTACTTTCACTGAGAATATTCAGTACGATTTTGGTTTTATTCTCAGTGCAATATGACAAGAAAAATAAGATACACATATTCAAATTAAACATCAATGATACAGTCACTGATGTAATTTTCAGAAAATTACAAATTAATAAAAACAATGAGTTAAAAGGACAGATAAAAGATAAAAGAAAACTCAAAAGAATTCTCATGGGATAGCATTAGGAGAAATACCTACTGTAGATGACAGGTTGATGGGTGCAGCAAACCACCATGGCACATGTGTACCTATGTAACAAAAAGAAAGCTCCATTACAGAAAGCAATGTGAATTGTAATTGCTTTATGATCATAAAGGACATTAATCAAATTAAATTTGTAAAAGCAAAAAGTTTCTATTCATGGAACTTCAGTGCTTTCTAGAAGCACTGAAGATTTCTTCTGGAAGAAAAATGTGTACGAATGCCTTATATTAGATAAGAATGCAAAAAGATTTTCTCTACTATGTATCAAAAAATGTAAAGCTAATCAAAACAAAATTTAAAGGCCAACTATATTATAAATATTGACTAAAATAATTACAAAGAACTGCAATGGAAAAGTGGGCAAAGCATTTGAACAGACAAGTCATTTAAAAAAAAAAAAAAAAAAGGAAAAGAAAAGTAGGCTCTTCAAATGAAAAGCTGCTCAACTTTCTTACCACAACCAGGATGTGAAAAAGAAAATTAGGGTTTAATCGTTGGTTCTTTTGTTTTGTTTTTCTTTTACATATTTGAGGCTTAGCAACTTGACCCCCAGGATCTTTAAGATAGAAATGTCACTTATGTCAGCGGTAACACAATTTTTGAGGAATAAACTTGGGCTGCATCTATAGTTTAAAGTGTTCTTAGTTTTTTCATTTGTTTGTTTGAGATGCAGTTTCACTCTTGTTGCCCAGGCTGGAGTGCAATGGCACGATCTCGGCTCACGGCAACCTCTGCCTCCTGGGTTCAAGTGATTCTCCTGTCTCACTCTCCCCAGTAGCATGCCCAGCTAACTTTTGCATTTTTAGTAGAGATGGGGTTTCACCATATTGGCTAGTCTGGTCTCAAACTCCTGACCTTGTGATTCACCTGCCTTGGCCTCTCAAAGTGCTGAGATTACAGGTATGAGCCATGGTGCCTGGCCAAAAGTGCTCTTAGGTTTTGACCCAGCAATTCCACCTGTAAATTTTTTTTCTACAAAATAGACATATTAAAAGATAAAAGATATATGGTACAATGTTCACTGCTATATGGTATGCAATAGCAAAAACTGGAAACTAACTCATATAATTTATTTCCATTATGAGTGGTAGAAAAACCATCATAGCTCTTGCTGAAGCCCAGATAGGCAGTCTAAGGTAAATGTAACACTTGATTATATCAAGTCCTGGATTCCTTCTGTCTTGTGGCCGCTGTATGAGCCACAACCCCAAGGTGGAAGATGGCAGTATGTGTTTATAGACAGCAATGAGGAAGGGAGATACGAAAGCAAAGTGTGTCTCTTTAGGAAAGATCATGGAAATCTGCCATGCCATATTTCTACCTACAGCCTGTTATTGAGAACTTAGGAACGTGGTTGCACCTTTATTGGGGGTCTTTTTTTCTGGGCAGCCATCTGCCTCGCTTAAAATGTGGAGGGTCTATTACCACAGAAGAAAGGGAGAATGAATTTTAGCAAACAACTAGTGGTTTCCACCACATGACTAAACGACCAACTGGGAAACATTACAAGACATCACACAATTAAATTCTATGCAATTGTTACAGACTCAGGCAACTCTGTGTGAATTGGCATGTGAACTTCTTGCAAAACGGAGTGTTTATTAAAGTTTAATAAAAGTGTGCAAAAAGCCTGCATATGTCCACCAAAAGACATGGAAAAATGTTTATTCCTCCATTATTTATAATATACCAAATTTTGAAATGCCACAATTGTTCGCCAGAGGTACGATGGGTAAGTAAAGTGTAGCGTATTTATCTAGTAAAATACCATAGGTTATGGGAATGAACAAAGCTTTGCCAGATACAATAATATGGATGACTTCTAACGTACGGCAAAAGAAGACAGGCACAGAACACGTAATTTACAATTTCATGTTGGGGGAAGCAGCAAAGGAGAAAGGACTTACAGAGTGCCTACATAAATTGATCATGAGTAACATATAAGTTGGGAACAACACACCATGGCAAGCCTCTGGGGAAGCAAACTTCTCCATGCCTCACGTCCTGGTGCAGGGTGACCCAGGCTCTGTTACCATAAATGTTGTGCTTAAGGACGTAAAATCCCTTCCTAGCACTAAGATGTAACCAAACCTGTAGGCTCCTTGTAAGGCCCTCATTCCACCAGCTGCACATAGATAATAGGCTGAAGATAACCACATGTTCTTGATTTGTGAAAATCCCAAACTGCCACTGTTATCAGTCTTTAGAATGACACACCAGTTCCAGTTCACTGATTCACTCCACCATCACATCACCCACTCCCCATCATTACTCCACCCCTACCCTATAGATCAAACTGATTGTAACCAATCAATAGTGTGAGAGATCAGAGTCCCGGGCCTTCACTCCCTCCAGTAAAAATTGATGGTCCCCTGGTCCCACTTTCAGTCTTTTTTTTCTTTGTCCAAGGAAGCAAAAGAATCAAAAGAAAACAAAAAAAAAACAACTCACTTTCACTCTTACTCTGTCTTTTTCTCATTCCTTTGTTGCCACTGAACTTGGGATACCCACGGGTGGGGTGTGGAGCTGGTTCCCTACAACCTATATAAACTCCAAAAACAAGTGAAATTAAGCTACAGGGCTAGAAAGCAGAATAAAGTCAAAGAATGCTTGCGGCAGAAAAGGAAAATAGAATGAAGGAGCCTTCCGAGGGTCCGCTAATGTTCTATTTCTCAAACTGAGTGCTGGGTTTTGGGGCATATTCACTTTGTAAAAATTCATTAAGTTACACACTTGTGATTTGTGCAATTTGTTGTATGGCTGTTACACTTCAGTAAGATGGCAGAAGCCTCCCTCATCTAGCTGAGGGACTGACAGTAATTCTCAAAATGGAAGGTGGGCTGTCGTGACTGGACAGAGATCCTCACTGCAAGCTGCTACGCAGGGAGGAGGTGAGTGGCTTCTGGTCACCAAGGGCAGCTGTGTCATCTAGACACGAGGGCAGACCCCAGGTGAGAGCATCAGCAGGACAATGCTGTCTTACTTCCTGCGGTTCCGTGCTCGCAGTCACAGAAATTGATGGGACACTTCCAGCTTCAGTACTGGGGTTTCTTGCTTACTAGCTGAGCTGGTCTATGAGAACAAAGAAAGAAATAGTGGAGTGAAGACATATTCCACAGGACTCAGACTCCACTTACAAGCTCTTTACTTAAAAAGTGCACTTGGTCTGGCCCGGAGGTTGCTGTGGTTCTTACTCCCAGATCCTGTCATGTCTCGTGTCTCTACACAGACCCCCACTCCACTCCCAGCTGGCCACCTGCCCGAGCACCACTGCCCTTGGCATCCTATGCTGAAGTGGTGACTGCATGGGCAAGTGGGGTCTGACAAGTCACAGTGACCACCAACCTCAGGAGGTCACCTGGCCTCACCTGTGATGCACAGCCCTGACCACACACACTCTGGCATGTGAGTTTCTCCACAAAGGAACAAAGCTGGGACGAGGCAATTTCACCACATAACTTGCTCAAGTGGCATCCTTTAAGTACGCCAGCATTATTAACACTGGAAGTTCTTTTGAAGATTTTGAAAGTTTTAATTGTCATGAGATTTTTCCAAACTAAGTTCATGATATGGATTTTTAAATTGTATCTAATTTAAATGACATTTCAATTCAACTCTAAATCTACAACTGATAGACCTGGTGATTCCAGGTAATTAGCACCTTTTTTGTTTTTGTTTTTGTTTTTGTTTTGTTTGAGACAGAGTCTTGCTCTGTTGCCCAGGCTGGAGTGCAGTGGCACGATCTTGGCTCACTGCAACCTCCACCTCCCAGGTTCAAGCGATTCTTTTGCCTCAGCCTCCCAAGTAGCTGTGACTACAGGCGCCCACCACCATGCCTCGCTAATTTTTCTATTTTTAGTAGAGGCAGGGTTTCACCATGTTGGCCAGGCTGGTCTCGAACTCCCGACCTCAGG